AGGACAAATATTTTTGGGTGTTACAAACATCAGCACAAACACATAATATCCTCCCCAATATAGTGGTGTAGGGTATAAAGATGTGTCAAATTTTATCATTTGAAATTTGAATTCTATTAAAGTAGTTCTTCAAACTATGAGTTGAATCAATTATCAAACAGAAATCTTGTACGATGAATATTATTTCATTACATTTTCAGTCTTTATGAGCTTTTGAATGTTAAAAATTAATTAAAACTTTTTTTTTTTTTAAATTTAAAGAGCATATTTTTAGTTTTTTTTTGCATATTTTATGCACTTTTTTAGAGCATATTTTTGGTTTCCCTTGTTATAACATTAAAAATTAATCCACTGTAATTTAAGCGATCTTGTGGTCTTTATATGGTTCCAGAATGAACAGTGATTAGAGCTGCTTCATAAGGGTGCCAGGCCACTCAGGGATAATCAGAAATGAAAGTGCTAATGTACCATAAAATAATATGCTATAAAAAAGGGTATTTGAGAAAACTAACATGGCCAGACATTTATTGAAATTAGATTCTAATAACTTTTTCTAAATTCTAATTCTGATCTACAAAACATAGTTTCTTATACATAATTGGATTTTCAACCAATATTTTCCATGCAAAAGAACGAACAGCAAGTCTTTCTTTAGACCTATCACAACCTTAAGATTACATTCCACTTAGTGTAAGTATTTATTATTATCAATAGATTTAATTACGTTCAATTTGTTTAAATATATTTTTGAGAATTTTTATTTAAACTTGGCTTACAGTAAAAGTGAGAATAAAAAGCAAATGGAATCTTTTCAATATAAATTTTTTTGGCAATGGTCTTGGCAATCATCAATTTAATTCCGCAAAATCGTAAAGAAATCTTTATGTAGCTATGTATTTAACTGTGCAGGTGTAGATTTCATTGAAATGATTTTTCAATCACTCAATTTACAATTCACTGCTATTTCATTTCAAACAAATTTTCCACAAATTCACTATATGTATATGACCTTAGAAAATGTCTTTCTTTTGTATGTATTTTTGGCTAGAAATCGTTTGTTTGGATGATTTCAATGGGATTTTAAAAAAATATTGGCTTAAAATCAAAATGAATTTTTTTTGTTACCAGCATTTTTCCAATTGGTTGCCTGCCTTCATTTTATTTTTGGCACTTAATTAACATTTGACTATTTTTTTAACGCAATTGTTTTAAGTTTTTTTTTTTACTGGCTTGAAAACAGTTGTTGGATTTTTCAATTATTTATTTTGTTTTTGAGTTTTTAGTTTTTTTTAATGTAAAAAAATATATTTTTTGTTAAATAAATTGTATTGTATTTATTTGCGTTCTCGTTAAATTTGCTTGTACCCGTTTATTACATATCCTATTTTTATTTTTTTTAAATATTTATTTGTTTACGAACAATGATTGTGTACATTTGTATTTGTATTGAATATCTGTGTGTGTATATGAATATTTGCAAAAGTCTGTGTGAGTTTATGTTTTATTTGCTTTTATTTGTAGTTGACATTGTTGTTGCAGTCTTTTTTTTTTGTATTTGTTTTTATTCCTCTTGCCAGTTCAATTTGATTTATTGTAAATTTTCAATACAAGTTGTAAATTGAAATGTTAACAATTGCAATGAGTTGCAATTCAATATGTTTTTACTTGACCACAGTCGCAAACAAAAAACTACATACATACATATAAAAAAAAAAAAAAAATACTGATAAAGCCGCCAATTTGTAGTATGTGGCTAACATATAAATTTGTGGCAAGCGGATTTGTTGCACTAGATTAAACAGATCACCATGGCAGAGCATACTAGATGAGGGTTTATTTACATAAATTGATTGTAATGTTTGCAAATACTTACACAGTAAAAATGTTAAATTAATTGGTTTTTATAGAAGTAACTTATAGCTACAGAAATACTTGTATTTTTACTTATTTGTTTAAGTTATTTTTACTCCATACATACTTACATATATGAGAAACTGCTATTGTAGTTTCATAACTTTACGAAACTTTTATAGTAATTTATTCATTCCAAGATGCAAGTTAATTCGTAAAATTATGTATTTTTTATACCCTACATCAATTTTGTTTGGAGAGTATTATGCGTAAAAATATTGTTTTTATGCCCCTTAATCGACTTAAAGTGTGATTCCATCCGTCCATCCGATCGTCCGGCTGGCTTCATCTTTGTGAGTAGGGTATATAAAAGTTTGTCATTCCGTTTCTAGAATATAATTTTTGGATACTTAAATAGCGGAAATGATTAAGCCATGTTAGTCCATCTGTCTGCCCGTGTGTATGTTGAAAATAAATTTCAAAAGACCCCAGATATCTGCAAGATCAGAATCCTCAAGAATTGTATATGCTTTCGAGAAGATCGCCATGAAAACATAAGGTTTTTTATTAGGGTTCTATAAATCGACTTTCAAATAATCGAACAATCGACTTTTTGTCGACGTCGACTATTTTGTTCCAAAAAAGTCGATAACTCGACTATGGTCTGTGAAAAAAGTCGAAAAGTCGACTTTGTTAACAAAAGTCGAAAAAAGTCGAAAAGTCTGAAAGTCGAAAAGTCGATAAGTTGAAAAAAGTCGAATAAAGTCGAAAAAAGTCGAAGAAAGTCGAAAAGTCGAAAAAAGTAGAAAAGTCGGAAAAGTCGAAAAAAGTCGAAAACTCGAAAATTGTAGAAAAAAGTCAAAAATAGTCGAAAATCTTAAAAAAAGTGGCAAAAAGTCAAAAACTCTACAATAGTTGAAAAAACTCGATAAAAGTCAAAAAATAGTCGAAAAAAAGTCGAAAATAGTCAAAAAGTCGAAAAAATCGAAAAGTCGGAAAAAGTCGAAAAGTCGAAAATAGTCGGAAAAAGTCGAAAAAAGTCGAAAAGTCAAAAAAAGTCGGAAAGTCGAAAAATTTGAAAAGTTGAGAAAAGTCGAAAAGCCGGAAAAATTCGACTATTTATAAAATACTTAAAGTCGAAAAGTCGACTTTTAATTAAATGAAAAAAGTCGAAAAATCGACTTTTCATCGAGAAGTCGAAAAGTAGACTTTTAACTAAATGAAAAAAGTCCAAAAGTCGACTTTTCGTCTATTTTTTATCATTCTCGATTCTTATTTTTTTCAGAAACTTTTCTTTCGATCAGGGATAACATGATTGACATATAGCTTTTATACAAATTTACATATGTTAGGTTAGGTTGATAGGAGTATGTGTACTACATCAAATCCGAAGAAATACACTTAGGCCGCTATTGGGTCTGCTGTGCGCTTTTTTCACTGAATGCATTATTTTTCAATGTTTAGAAACTCAGTTTCCTGGACGTAATTCCTAAGAATTTTCCAATCAGTGTTAATCACACGCAGAGAAAAAACATGTTTCGGCATGGTTAGGACAACTATTCTATGTTTTTTGTAACAATATTTTGTTGTCATAACTAAACAATTGTTATTTTTATTGAATTTCATCAATATTTTAGTTACTGTAAACATTTATATATTTATGACAATTATAAATTTGAGAATGATTCTCTAAAAAAATAATTATTTTTACAACAAATTAATAATGATAACTATGTAAACATAATAAATTTTTTAGAACCATTTAAACTTTCAAACAACCATTAAATGGTAGGTTTTTACAAGTTTAATCATATAATGTTTAAGATATAAGCATGTTTACCCATATAATGAAACCATAATATGGTTACTTGAAACAATAATATGATTACTTGAAACCATTATATTATTATATGAAACCAAATTATGGTTACTTAATACTATGGTTACTATAATGCTATAACATCACATTATGATTAATAAAACAATGTTATGATGAAATATTCGGACTATATTTGATCATAATATGATATCTTATTATATTAGTAATGATCATAATATGATATTTTTGATACCAATAATGATCATAATATGTTTTAACTTTAACCATAATTCTAACCATAATATGTTGCTCTTAGATTATGGTTACCACAACCATATTTTTTCTCTGTGTGCAGGAATGTTATTTTCGGAATAACATCACTTTCAAGATAATTAGATCTATCTTCGAAGAATCCCTCCAGAATTTCACTGTCTTCTTCACATGCTCTACATTCGTCTTAATTCGCACGTCCAATTTTGTATAGATGTTCGAGCACATCCGTGTGTCCACTAACCTCAGACTTGCTCATTTTTAGGAGATTTCTCGCCTTGCTCTCATCAGGGTTACTCCTAGGATCTTAGTGGTTCTACCCATCGTTTCATTATTCCAAGGGGCCTTATGGGATTCTCTCAAACATATTTTTAATTCAGCTTATGTTGCGTCGAATGGTTTTGCGTTCGTTAGGTTAACTACCTTGAGTTCACTTCCCTTTAAAGCAATTACATTCACCCTTTCGTTGCCGACTACTCCCGAGTGGTCTGGTACCCATATGATGTAAACCTTACCTCTTACAAATTTACATACTTCCGGAACTGTTTTTTGTCGTTAATAACTCTCTCTAGAATATCGGTATTGCCCACATAAATCTAATATCAATATAAATTGTATTATCAACTAAAATCTGGATCAGTCCACAAATGACCATAGTTTCCATATAAGATACCCATCCTAAAATCAGGTAAACGAACATCATTCATTAATAAATAATCATATCTGAACAAAATTTAAGTGGACGTAATTTTCCCGAAATGGCCGATAATCGTTCATAGCATTCATATTAAGTCCACTTCATTTCTTAATCGTAAAAAACTCATGAATTAATGATGATATGGGGATACCATTCTACACGAATATGTTTTGTATATATGTTAATCATTGTGCGTAGTTTTTTTTTATGGGTGAAGGATATTTAAGATTCCGCATAGCCGAATATAGCACTCCAACTTATTTTATTTTTTTTTTAATAATATTTTGACATTTTATTTAAATATTACTCTTTCATTATTTATTCAGTTGTGTTTTTAATAATTTGTAAAAAATCTAAAAAATAATGTTACGAAAATCTCAACGTTCAAGTATTTCGGTCCAGAATTTAGCACAAAATTCTAAATTAGAGAAAAAATTAAGATTTAATGAAGAAAACATCCAACAAACTCATCATCCAGTTCAAAAGGATTATGGATTTATTGCTATTCCTGAAGCTAAAACACCATTTCCTAGGCACGGTGATCCCATAGCAGCCGAAGATTTACGTAAACGTTTACAAGAATCACTAGATCGTGCTAATCGTATGATGCTCAATGATAATACTGATGATGACGACGAACGCACCTTTAATATGGATGAACTGCAAACACCATTAGCTAGTTTAGATTTCGAAGATCAAGAACGTAGACGAACTGAATTCTATAAGAAACGTAAACAATTTTATCAATCTGAATACATAATAGCGCAACAAAAATCAATGAGCTCAGAAATACCAGAACCTGGTCCGTCTGTTGGAGAGAATTGGCGTATTGTGAACAATGATGGAAACACTTCTTTGCCGTCAAATTTCAATTCCTTTATAAGTAATAATCGTCAGTCTACGGTTAATTATGAAACACTGCGTGAAATTGCCGAACAAATGTCTAGTTCAAGTGAACAATTTATTTAGTTGCTCATATTTAAGTATTTATCTAAAATCATTAGATGTATCTCAGACGAAGTTATGTTTAACTTAATCACTTTCGTTTATAAGTATACTAGGAAATACTATATGCCAGACACGTTTTCTTGCCCGAAAATATGTGTACATTGTATGTATACACAAAAGTATTTATTTAACTTTAACTATAGAAATTATTAATTAAATTCGCAAATCATAGGAAAAACTTAACACAGAGTGTCAAGAAATATTTCAAACAAAAGACTTTATTGTTTTGTTAATCTTAACATTTTCATTAATTCGTATATTTTTTAATAAAAATAAAATAATTATGAATTTTTTTTAAATGCATATGTAGTTTACTACAAGTAATTTCTAAAAAATAAACTTCATTTAAAACCCCTTCAGATGCCAGTTTCAAAACTCCAATTTCAAGCTTTTAACAATTTTGTTAAGCAAATTTTAAAATTTTGAGAAAATCTTTATGTGACTTATGGACAATAAAGAAGAGAATAAAATGGTAAAGAAATTAAATCGATATCTACCACAGATTAGCGGAAGCTGGGTTTTAAATTTTAAGGATTTCGCAGAAAACTATTTTTTGGTAATATTTTTGAAAATCAGTCTTAATTCCTTACTTTTATGCATTTTATATAAAACCTTTTCAGAATATAAAAATCCAGATAATAGGAAACTTACATCTGAAGTTTTATTAAAATCGAATCGTTTTATTAATCGAAATCGTTAACCCATAAACTGTAAAGATCAAACTTAAGCTTTGCAATATTGGGAAAATCAAATATAAAAATACATAGCACATTGTACATAAAAATAAATATCTTTTTATAATCACCGTAGTATTTGTTTTTTGTTTAGTTCTATGCTTTTATTTGGCTACAGCTTTTGTTTTCATATTTTGGTCAAAATACATAATAAGAAAAACATAAACAACAAATAAACTAACTAAGCGTATAAATGTCTATGATATTTTCCTCAAAATCTTTTATTTTCTGCAATAGTTGTTGACCATAGACTCCTTGTTACAGGCAGATGAACTTTTAACCCCTACAGCAACAGTTAAACTATCAAATATGTATGTAAACACAGAGTTTGAATTTGCTGTATTTATTCTACAAATATAATATTCGTACATAATAACAAATAAACACGTGTATACACTGAAAGAAATATAAAGTTATTTTTTTTATTTTTTGTTCTTAAATTAAGTATATTTAATTTCTGGTACCATCAAAAAAATTTCTTGATTAGGAGTATGTTTATCCTTAACCATATTTTTTTTCTCCAACTTTAAATGCAAATTTTCACAGTGTATGGAAATATACACTTTTTCCTTAAATATTTATTTAAGCATTAGCATAGACTGTAGTGTTTGACTATTATATTTGTCTTATTATGATCTCAGCCAAGGGAGCATCTAAAGTATAGTATAGTTTCCACAAGTAATTAACTTACTTATTTCATGTTTAATATATTCTACATTTTGTGTAAAAATATGGGTGTATGTATATGTGCGAGTAAAAATCCATAAAGAAATTCCACTCACGTAACGACAAAGAAAAACAGATTTTCATATTTCAAATAAATAATAATCATAATTTCACAGCAGGTAAACAGAAAATCAAAAACAACTTGAAATCATATAAAAGGGGGAAAAATTCGCCTCTTATACGAAAACATTTTCAATTGAATAAAAATGAAATTCTTGTTTAATCTTCAAAGTAACTGGCTAAAGTGTTAAGAAAGCAAAGAGTTTCTAAAGTACAACTTGCATTCAGTACTAAATGTTTATTAATAAAGTTTCTTAAGTATAAGCATTAAAGTTTAACAATTTCAACCAAAAAACACAGATTTAATAGTAAAATTTTAAAAATATTTTGAAATCAAAAGAAAGATACAAAAAAAAAGAAAATATTATAGAATTTCCACAAACATGTGTTACTTAAACATTTCAAACGCATACTTGCATACACACACACTATAACAATGCCTAACATATAAGATTACATTTACACACATACATTGTTCATGTGATCTGCATATGTATGTGTGCGTACAATTATTACCATCTGTTAGTATGTGTGAAAATACTATGCAGAACAGTTTATAGAAAACATGTTAAAAGGCATGTTGCACTTTTATATTGGCGAAAGGAAAAAATATATTTATACCAGCAATTTTTAAAATTTAATAAAGAGTAACGATAAATTTAGAACAAAAATTGTGTCAAAAAACTTTATCTTCATGATCAAAATAGCAAAAAAGAAAAAAAAAAGAAAACTTAAAAAAACGATTTTTTTACCTTTTTTCCCCTGTTAAGTTCTATAGGTAGCAAACCGTTCAAAATTCAAGAAAACAATCAACTACAAAAATGTACCTAAGATCTTAATAAACAACTCACAGGCAAAGCTGTAAGTTCAGCACACCAAACACACCATATAAAAGCTAGCTTAATACAATATCACAACAGACGTATACTTAATATTTGTAATATCATATAAATCATTAACACGTATACGTACAGGTGTCGCTAATAAAAGCAGTGCAATTTCAAAATGTAAAACTTTCCACTTGAAATTAAGAAATGAAGATGATTTTTTTTTATTTTATATGTTTTCAATTTTTGTTCTTTATGACAAGAGATTCAGAGTGTAAAGCTAAATTTCGAACGGTTTGCAAGGTATTTGGGGGCCCGTAAAAAAGTGCAGGGCTTAGTGTCCTTATATGGTTATATTTCGATGACTTAAATGTATACACAGTGAAAAAACGATTAAATACTTTATCCTCAAACTAATAGATTCCAAAAATATGTAAATGCATGTGTATATTATTTTAGGTATATGTATATTTGAGTATAAAAACAGATTGCTTTGCCAGAAGCTTGTGTAAGGAATTCCGGTTTAGGGCGTATGAATTTCTTTTAAAGAACAATGAGTGTGAGTTAGTAAAGGAGTCTCACCTATATATTCATATGCACTGACTTCACATAGTAAAAGCAACAGCTGTTGAACTAATGCTATTGAAGAAAACACACTAACATACAAACACAGATATTCAAAATCATACTTTTATACATAACACATATACATACACACATCCATACAAATACATAATATAAATGTGTGCAATTGCACACAACATAAACATTTAACAATTGAATGCTGACCACTACATGAACTACCACAACAACAAAACCATTGACCATAGTGGCAAACAGACATTACAACCACACAGCTACACATACATATATGTATATACATAAACATATAAACTCACACACAGATATTTAAAAACACTTGCACTCACTTATGCTTTGCTATTGAATGACCGACTATTCACACATACTTATGTACGATTATTTCAAAACTCATCCTCACACAAATTGTGGCCAAAAGTATGACCGACCAATAGCAAAAAAATTAGAAAAAATACTAAAAAGAACCTTTGGGCGTTTAGGCGTAAATTATACTTTTTCCTTTTAACCATTTAAAAGTAAAAAGGCCAAACCAGTGCTCTGGCAATCATGGTGATGTTAAAGTGCCACTAAATAATGTTTCTTTGTAGCCGTTTTCTTTTTTCCAAGTAACTTCTTTGGTTGTTTGTGTTGCAGTTTTTGCTGGTGTTGTCGTCGTTTCAGCTTCCTCTTCAGCAAATACTTCATTGGTTTTTTTTGCTCCTTGTTAGTTGGGAAAACTTTTAAACCCTATTTGTTAAATGTTACTTCTTCAAAGTAGAAAAGTTATATGTATTTTTGTAACAGTGTATGATGTGCTTATATACGAGATGAGTCTAATAAATAAATGCATTTAATATAGATTCGTTTTTTTAAATATTTCAAATATTTTTGATGAATAGAGCTTTTAGCTTGATATTTTTGTATTCCCGCTAGAATATTGCACAGCTCATGGATAACAGTTCGTGCTGCTGTTGATCCTTTCTGTGTTTGTCAGCAGGTATAGCCGTTGAAATAAGAAATAAGAAATAAGATTTCATTTTCAATTTATAACATACACTACCATAGGTGTATTATGGATTTATGCTGATGTTTCTAACACCCTTAAATATTGGTTTTACACCTACCTTAAAGTATACCAATCGGCTCAGAAGTCGATTAAGCTATGTCCGTCCGTCCGTCATTCTGTCTATTTGTCTGTCTGTCCATCTTAGACCATGTGCGAAAGGTCGCAATTTTCAATATAATTTGATAAAATACTTTCCTCTTGAACCATGAAAATGGTTAAAATCAGTTCCGATTGTGTGATAGGTCAGTTTCTATGAGTATTCCGTCCGTCAGTCTGTCTGCCCGTCTTAAACCTTGTGCGCAAGCTAAAGGTTGCAATTTCCAAGATAATTTGATAAAATAATTTTCTCTTGATCCAAGGACGAAAATGGTTGAAATCCCGATTGTGTGACAGTTTGGTTTCTATGAATATTTAGTTTTTGATTTTCACAGGACACATAATAAAACAATAATAAGGTAGAATCAGTAGAAAAGTACGTTCTCAATTTTACATGCCTTGAATTGTCACAAAAAAGAGAATTGACAACTCTCCCTACTGATTCTACCATCCTATGGTTGTATCATGACAGGACAGATAAATTCTTTAGATTATGACTTTTGAGGCAATACCAAGTGTTACCAATGCTATACTGAAATTTTGTAGCATTTAAGATTGCCCTCGTACATATATATGTATGTGTTTAAGTTTTTAAAGAAAAAATAGAACATAAAATTGCACAAAAATGAAAAGTGTTGGCGCGTGTTTCCTAACCGGACGGTTGCACATGACCGGGATTTTTCACAATGACTCAACTAAACTGACCGTAGAATTGTAAATAATAAAAAAATAAATATGAAGTGTTCTACCATTATAATGTTTGTACTCGTAAATGTAATTTCATAAAGTGGAAACAATATTGAGGGAAAGTTATAAGTATGTACAAAAAAAAACAAACTTAGTACAAATTTATTTTAATGCCAGTGATTTAAT